ACTGACTATAAAATTATATTCACAAAGAGAAAAAAAAAACATATCTTCCATTCCTGCTTGAAGTAAAACTCTGGCTATACCTGCTACTGATGCTTAAACACGAGTTTGTGACTTACTTTTGCCTTTCTCTTATTTTATGACTTTTTATCCTGTGGAATTTTAGGAAACATCCTCAAATGTCTTCAGATTTTCTCTTTGCTTTTGTCACATTTTGTTTCCTATTCCAAATGCCGTGGAAATAAGACTTTTCCTGATAAGATATGTAACTCGGAGTGAGAAATAGTCTCCATCTCTCATTACTAACCCCTATTGAAAGCCTTACCACATAACTAACTCTGGGGAATTACTCACTGTTGAATTTCTTCATGTGCACATGAGGGTGATTTCTCCACTGACAATCTAAATGCATTGGTGTAAGGCAGATATAAATTGCCTTACACATAAAAGAATTTCTATGTTTTCTTCATATATCAAAATTCGAATAGTTCCTTTGGCATACTTTTAGGAAAATTTTGGTGTTTTTGAAGAACATTCCTTACAGTTAACCGAACAGCCCTACACATGACTTGGAGATCAACGTAAGATTGTCTACATCGTTCTTTTGCTCTTAAATATGTGTTGTTTGGTAATAATTTGAAAATTTTAAGACTGCACTACACATAAGCTAGTAAAAGAAATCCTTTAAAAATCTGCTTCTCAGTGACCCAATTTCAGAATAATGATGCAGTTGTACGCACTTCTTCACAGTTTTGCAGAAATTAGAGGAAGCAGACCAGGTCTTCTAACAACCAAGAGAGAAGTTAAAAAATCGTTTAGTGTGATACAGCCTTGAACTTATCTAGTGGACACCGTGAAATTTTCTATTTTCTTCTCCCTGTGACCGCTTACCACCAGCTAGATTAGTAAATGCTCATTAATCAAGCCCAGTGAAAATGTCACTGTGCATACTCTGCAAGCGGTCTTGCGGCACCCAACAGGCCACAGGGAAGGAGCCAGTTCCAAGCATGTTCTGCAGTGGGAATGCCAATTAGCCTGTGAGGCACTCTCTCCTGTTTGAATGGAGGGAACACAATATAATGTTTAAAGAACTATTTGTGACGTTACTCGGATCTGAATTCACATGCTTATTTTTGCTTTTCACAAGTCTGCAACGTCTGAGTTTCAATTCTTTTTTTTTTCTTTTTTGGGTCACACCTGGCGATGCACAGGGGTTACTCCTGGCTCTGTAGTCAGGAATTACCCCTGGTGGTGCTCAGGGGACCATATGGGATGCTGGGAATCGAATCCGGGTCGGTTGCGTGCAAGACAAATGCCCTACCCTCTGTGCTATTGCTCCAGTCCCCATTTTCAATTCTTTTCATCTTTAAAATTGATATATAAACAATTAAATAACAGGCCTAATAGGACTGTTAGGAGAAAAGCAACATTGTTCTGTACAATGTAGGCCCTCAATAAAGACAATTCTATTCAATCTGAAGTTATTATTAATGACGCTTGTTCATGACAGATATTTTGTGTAGAATTTATAAATATGAACAAATTTTTGAACATATAAAAATATGAACACAGAGTAGGAACTACTATGTGTCTGTTTGACAAGTGAGATTCAGATTAGGCAACTACCTAGGAGAACAAAAGCACAAACAGGCAGAGTTGGAGAGATAGTACAGCAGGAGGGGCGTTTGCCTTGCTTGTAGCTGACTTGGGTTGGTCCCTGGTATCCCATATGGTCCCCTGAGCCTGCCAGGAGTGATCTATGATCACAGAGCCAGGAGTAATCTCTGAGCACTGTCTTGTGTGGCCTTCCTAAGGAAAAAAAAAGCACAAACAGGTTTTGAACTAAAATACACATCAGATCTGTTCTGTGTCACATCTCACCCTCAGACATAGAGTTCTTAGTCACCTTGCTGTACGAAGGATGCTCTGACAGTATCACTTTCCTGCGCCGTGATACCGTTACTGACAGTGTTATAGTGAAATAAGTGGTAGTTTGGGGGATGGTTCAGGCAAAGAACCAAGGTATCTTGTGGCTCCATTTGACACTCAGAGTTGTGTCCACTAGATGGCATTGCTGTTTTAACCAAACGTGAGTCGAGCCAGGGTTAGGCGTGTGCTAACCTTGAGAACATTTACAGGACAGTCCAGCCTCATCTGTAAGAGGATGATGGAAGAAATGTTCAAAAGTTAAAGACAGTCTATATCTCTCTAAAGGCGTCTTCAAATAATTGAGAAAAGTACATCTAGTTCATTCTGAGTGTCAATGTCAGTGTAGAAAATCTGGATGAATTTCGAGATTATCTAGTCCAAAATGCATTAGTTTACAGGTTAATAGATTGGAAGCCCAAAGAGAAAAAAATGACTTGTCCAGGGTTATCCGGATAGAAACCATTAGTCTGTAGTTATTTTGTTCTTTTATTATAGTACTTTATTACTATTTTTGGGAGGTGGGTGGGGGTGTCATACCTCTCCAGAGTTTATTCCTAGCTCCATACTCAGGGATCACTTCTGGCAGTGCTTGGGGGTACTACATGTGGTATTAGGGATTCAAACAGATTTGATCATGTGCAAGGGAAGCATCTTACCCCTGTATATATCCTACGCTAGTTTCTACTAACATTAGATCAGAAAGAAACTGAGTTCTGACTCTCATAAGATTTTCATTTTTGGGTATGGGGACAAAGATTGCAAAGACTGTGGTTTTGTTTCATTAGGTTTTAAACATGTGTTCTAAATCAATAGTAGACTTAGTCAATTATATACAAAGTAAGATAAAAGGAAAATATGGTTTTGGTTTATCTATTTTTAACATGTCCCCTTGGAAAGATTGACTGACTCAACTTAAAAGTACTGTCTCGAGTGATTGACAGTACAATTTGTGGATATTAAACATGTAGGAGGTGCCACAGTAAACAAAAGGTTTGTGTAATTATATTGCCTGCAGTAGAAATTGGTTTTATTTCTTAGTAACCACAAATTCTTGGGAAGGTCAATAAGTCCTTTGGACTCTGTTTCCACATCTGTAAAATGGGCATACCTTTGCTACCTTAAGTTTGTGAAAATTAAATGTGTGTGATCTGTTTGCGGGGAAGCTTAAGACAAGGTTAATGATAGAAATAAAAATGATGAGTTTTGTTATTTACAACTCTTGTTTAGTTTCAGCTTCTCTCAATTGTGACTGCCCTTACAGGTGCCATGTCAACAAATCCTCTGTCACATGTTGAATTGCTCAACGAGAGGAAATAACATTTCAGGTTTTATAACTATATGACAGTGCCTCTTCCTCAAACAGATGGTGGAAGTAGCCAGGATACATATGGCATGTATTTAATTATATGTTCACATAAATTTTATTTAAAACACTCGTAGGCTTTCGGCTCCTACTCATAGTGTAGACGGAGAAGGTGACTAAGCACACGAAATACAAATAATAATAGCCAAGAGTTACTGAGTCCTTGCTGACAGTCTGAATATTGTTGTCTTACGGGTATCATCTAACACTCGTGTGGTCCACAAACTTGTATGTTTTGCTTTGAAAAGGTAAGGTCTACCGGGCTTGAGACTCTCAAATAATAAGCCACAGAACCGGGATTTCAACCCAGGGGGGTTGCTTCTGACCCATCCTTCACTGCCACCTCTCAGGACGGGACAAGATGAGGCCTCCGTGGTTCCTGATCTCTGGATTGCTTTCCCCAGAAAACTTAAGTCCTGGCCAAATATCCCTCATAGATTCTGAAAAACTTCTACTTCAAGCAAAAATGATGCCTAATGAAAGAAGGCCTCGAATAATGTCATTTCATCCATCTTCAGTGAGGGTTGTTTTATTTTCTTTCTCATCAATGTCATCATGAAACAACATTGATGGAAAATCAGTTGAGAACTCGCAATACGCTAAATGTCTCCCAGAGGCCTGGTGCAGCCACTGTTTCTGTAGCTCTTCCGCTGTTAACAAGCATCTCCCTTACCCTAGAGCATAATGTCGTAAACCTCTGTCAATACTTTTTTATGGCAGTTAGTCAATGAGATCAGCTGATTCCAGTAAACATAAAATAGGTTACAAAGCAACGCAAAGTTGTGGCAAATCAAGACAGTGCAAACTCAGAGATCCTTCAGACCATCCTTAGGAATCCCTGTCAGTACACATCAGTAAGCTCAGGGTGCTGACGCCATCGTGCCTGTGAGTGGCCCTGCTCTTTTTTTTTTCCGCTTCCTGGGTCACACCTGGCAATGAACAGGGGTTACTCCTGGCTCTATGCTCAGGAGTTGCTCCTGGCAGTGCTCAGGGGACCATATGGGATGCTGGGAATCGAACCAGGGTTGGCTGCGTGCAAGGCAAATGCCCTACCTGCTCTGCTATTTCTCCAGCCCCCTGAGGGGCCCTGCTCTTAGGAGCCTATTTGTTGCTCTTCTGTTCTAGAACTTTCCAGACTATACTAGTCATGGCCAATGACCAGACTCTATTCCTGCTTAGAATTCCTGAATTCAAACTTACCTGAATGACAGAGGTCTTTTCGTCTAATTCCCTTATCTTTTCAAAGAAGGACAGAGTTCCCATTTGTCATTTGTCCTCATTTCTCTTAGAGGGAGACTTGAAGCTCTCTTCATTCAGTTATTACATATTGTTGCTCTCTCCCTTAGTGATTCCACTTTAAATAGCCCCACTTTGAACACTTGCTGATTTTTCCTGTTTATATTAATAACATTTTCCCTTCAGTGATGAACCCAAATTCAACAGATAGCATCTGTTCTTTACAGATAGCATCTTTCTATTTATAATTTCCTCTTTTTTTTTCACCCCCTCGCTAGAAATACACTTCTGTGGGGGTTTGGAAAGCAACCCAACAGCTATAAGAATACATTTTGAAATCCACTCTTTCTTCTCAGTAGAAGCCATAAATTCAAGACTTTCAACCGAGACCTAATAAAATAAGCATCCGCCATCGGATGAAGACAACGTCAAAGCAGAATTTCCCATCATGAGTGAGGAGGAGGCTTCCACTTACCGATCTCGGTCATGGTGATGCCCGGTGCTAACTGCCCGTTGTTGAAAGAGCTATAGGTAAACAAGTTGGGGACAGAGGTGAGGTCATAGATGGGTTCCTGCTTGATCTGTTTGATTCCAGTCATGTCGAGTCCGGACTGATCAGGAGATGGCTGGCCAGAATCCACGCTGTAATAACCCTCCGACTTGGGCAGATCGATGACGTGTCCATTGGCATAAGTGCCGCTGGCCTCGCTGCTCAGGTTGTTGAGGCCGTTACTGATGCTGTTGCTGTACACCCTGGCGAGGGCTTCTGCCTCCCCGCTCTGCTGCTGCCGCTGCTCCTGCAGCCGCTGCTGATGCTTCTGCACCTCGGCGTACAGACTGTCCCTTTGCTTCTTGGACATCCTCCCAAACTTCACAGCTGGGTGGGAGAGAAAAGGAGACGACAACATTTGGGCCATCGTTTTTGTTAAGCACCCCAAGTGCAAGGACCCAGGGGCAAATGTCCTTTCAACTTCAATTTCACAAACCCTAAGCACTAGAGTCTATGAGGTTGTATCACTCAACTCCACATTTGATGAAAGGTTATATTCATGGGCTGGAGCGAGAGCACAGCAGATAGGGTGTTTGCTTTGCATGTGGCTGACCGGGGTTCGATTCCTCCGTCCCTCTCTGAGAGCTCGGCAAGCTGCTGAGAGTGTGCTGCCCACACGGCAGAGCCTGGCAAGCTCCCCATGGAGTATTCGATATGCCAAAAACAGTAACAACAAGTCACACAATGGAGACATGACTAGTGCTCACTTAAGCAAATCGATGAACAATGGGAGGACAGTGCTACAGTGATATATTCATGGATGTTGATCCTGGTTTATGAGCACGGTGAGAACTAAGACTCCTCAGGAAGAAATGTCAAAGCTATGTTTTATTTATGTTGTTGCTAAGAAAATTAGAAGGCATATTTCTTTGTTCTTTCTTGCATCTAAAACAAACAAAAAAATCCAAACCCAACAACCTCCCCTCACCCCCAATTACTAAATAGGACTTACTATTAAAATGTCAATCAACAGTCATTATTCGCTTTGCAGCCCTCAGAATTAGGGTTACTGGATTGCTGAAGAGGGTCCTTTTTCACTATTTTCTAAATAACATGTTGGGAAAGGCCCAGGATGTAGGGAAGGCAATAAACACCGTTTGAAGTAAACCACATCATTTGCCTTCAGTTGGTTTTTGGAATCAAATGAAAAGACTCTTTGGAAAAGAGCAATTTTATGCAGCCATTGCCGAGCAGAAGAGCCAACACCGCTTTCTAGTTTTATCACCCTCAAATTGTATGCTGCCCATTTTTTTTCTAACACAATCCTTAGCTGTTCTGAGGTGGGTGCGGGGAAGAAGAGAAAGGTTTTCTAAGCTGTCACAACATAATATGAAGATGCTTTGATCTGAATGTATTGTTTCTTATGGAGCTTAACCTCCTGAACTGTTACCAATGTTGACATTTTTCCCCACAAACTGTCAGCTTCCATTTTAGACTGAACATCCTGAGTCAAGGAGCTGCCTGGTGTGAATCATCAAGTTCTCTGTTTTTCAGCTTGTGTTAATAGTGGGGACAGTGACAAACTTGGACGTTTCCTTTAGAGTTTTGTGGAGGGCTTTTTGGGGTATATGTTGAGGGTAGCCTTCCTAGCAGTGTTCAAAGGGACCATGGGCTTCTCCCAGTCATATTAAAAATTTTCTTTTCTTTTTTTTTTTTTTTTGCTTTTTGTAAACCTTCAGTGATGCTCAAGGGTTTGTCCTGGCTCTGCACTCAAGAATTGCTCCTGGAGGTGCTTGGGGGGACGATATGGAATGCCGGGGATCAAATCTGTGTCTTCCACATGCAAGGCAAACGACCTACTCACTGTACTATCGCTCCAGTCCCTCTCCTAGTCATATTTGGTGCTCAGGCCCAGTGATATAGTTCTGCTCTGGTAGAGCGGTGTTAGGGGCCATTAGGACAACCCCAGCAGTGTTTAAGATTTGTATAGTTCCAAGAATCAAACCTAGGGCTTCTTTAGAGCACTCACATATTCCAAGCCTTTGAGCTATCTCTCTTGTCCCAGCTTTCTTTACTTTTATGATATTATTGGCCATAACCTCTTGGTATTGGTAACTCAGGGAAGATAGAGAGAAGAAAGTGGAGGGTAGAATCATGTTGAGCTACCTGACTCTGTCACTAGGGTTAAGTGAGAAGAATCAAGTGGCAAAGTTGGTTTTGTTTGTTTGGGGGTCATACTTGGCTGTGCATGGGGCTGACTCCTGGTTTTGTATTCAGATATCACTCTTGGTGAGCTTGGGGAACCCTGGGGTGTTCAGAATCAGACCCAGGTTGAACCTGTACAAAGCAAATGCCCTACCCTCTGTAGTATCTCTCCAGCTCCTAAAGTTCTCGAGAATTCTTTTCGTTCCCCCTTAAATTTTTATTAGTGAAACACCATGAGGTACAGTTGTAGACTTACAAATTTGTGTGCTTGGGTTTCAGTTGTACAATGATCGAATACCCATCCCTCCACCAGTGCCCATTCTCCACCACCACCAGTCCCAGTATCCCTCCCACCCCCTTCTCCCCCATTCCACCCTACCACTGCGGCAGGACATTCCCTTTTATTATCTCTCTCCTTTTGAGTGCTGTGGTTTGCAAAAGAGACATTGAGTGGCAATCTTGTTCGGTCTATAGTCTACTCTCATCATGCATTTCCCATCCTGAGGGGAACCTCCCAAAACCCTTAATTTGGTGCTCCCTTCTCTATCTGAGCCTGCCTTTTCCCCTAGCGTGTGCGGCTGTCCTCAAAGCCATGCAGTAATCCTCCTGGTACTCATCTCGGCTACTCTTGGGTGTTAGTCTCCTATTTTGTAATTCTCGAGAATTCTTTAACACAAAAGGCCAGCAGAAAGGATTCCTGCTCTAAGTAAGTTGGCATTTCCCTTGTCTTCCTCCCTCCCCAATATTTCCTCAATTTGTTTATTTTTTTTCTCCTACTAACAGAACGACCACATTTTGTGGAAGCTTCGACTGTTCAGAATGGACACCTCATTGTCCAGTTGCCCTCAAGTTTGGGGTGGCTAGATGATCCCATTCTTGTAATGTCAAGGAGTGAATACACAGGCTCACGTTCAGGACTTGGAGCAGGGCTGTTCTGTTCCCTGTTGCCTGCTGCAAATTTAGAGCCGCCCAAATCTCTAACTGTTTAAGCCTTCTTAAAAACTGTCTTCTGACTTTCTGGTACTGCCTAAGAAAGAAAACAAAGTGGCAATTATCCAATAGTTTGTCTGAATGAAGACAGTTAATCTGGTTAATTCAGACGAAAATCTCTTTTCCACCTCAATTGTCATTTTTATAGGGACTTGAATCATTTAGACCATTGTGCTTAACTTTGTTTGCAGACACTGTCTTAGATTAGGGCCTGTTCTTTGCAGACAAATTGACTTGCTCACTAATTGAGGGGGTCTTTCTAGTTTGTCCTGTAGACATAATTTTATCTTTTTAATTTTTTAGTAACTTTTAGGGATAGTCTCCTCCCTAGCTTTAGGTGATACCTTTCCAAATAATTTTCTGTATATAACTCCCTAAGCAAAAAAGCTTTTGCATAAGAAAAATTACAAATTTAGTTCAAAAAGAAATACTGGCTCCAAGAAAATAATGTGATATGCTTTTTATTTTTTGACACTGTTTTTTTTGTGTGTGTGTTCATTTGGTTTACAATAGCCCCCTCTTTTTTTTATTTCCAGTGGAGAGCCACACCTGTTGATGCTCAAGGCTTACTCTTTACTCTGAGCACAGGGATCATTCCTGGTGGGCTGAGGGGACCATATTGGGTGCCAACGATCAAATTTGGGTTATCTGAGTGCAAAGCGTGCTCTACCCATCATAAGATCACTCCTGCCCACCACACCTTTTTTTTTAAATTAACAGAGCTATAATGCTGAATACAATTTTTTATCTAATGCTATGGGAACTTGCACCCTGTCTGCTGTACAATCTATCCCAGTGTTTCTTTTTAAACCTCTTCCCCATTTAAATTTATTTTTAAAAAAGATTCCTATAACACAATATTCAGGTGAAATACACAATGTGGTGGATTGATGGTGATAATGATCCTGATTCCTCTGACCTATTTCCATGCCTTTCCATATCAGTTTGCAGTACCTTTTCATTGGGTGCAGGCATTCTGTTCCACCCATGACTCAAAAAACGCAACATGCTCTGGCCGACGGAGATATTGATATACACACCATAAAGAGATGCTTCAAAGTGCTTGTATGACTGAGTACCTTCCCATGCCTAATCTTGCTTGCTAGAGGATAAGAGTAAGCAGAGCTAAGCTACCTCAGTTGTCCCTCATGAGATCTGCTACAGTCTGCAGAGGCAGGGATTGACAGTTGGCAGTAGACAAAGGAATGAGTCTAGTCCAGGTACTCAATTTAATAACTTCAGATTCAGAATTTGCTAATTATCACTGAGCTTAATATTGAAGGTTCTAATGTTAAGGAAATATGTTAGCAACTTCTCTGCCCTAGGAAACATCTGAAAACTCATGGTGACTAGTGGTGACTTTTCTGAGAAACCACCTTAGTAGGTCACTGAACAACTAAAATAATTTTAAAGAACTGTAGCACTGTCCTCCGTTGCTCATCAATTTGCTCGAGCGGGCCCAGTAATGTCTCCATTGTGAGATTTGTTGTTACTGTATTTGGCTTATGGAATATGTCACGGGTAGCTTGCCAGGATTTGCCGTGGGACAGAGATATACTTGTCAGGCTTGTAGCTTGTCAGGCTCTCCGAGAGGGGTGGAGGAATCGAACCGGGGTTGGCCAAGTCAGCCGAGTGCAAGGCAAATGCCCTACCTGCTGTGCTATCGCTCCAGCCCAATTTTAAAGAAGCAGCTTAAATCTAGACTGTAGCACTGTCCACTGTCCTCCCATTGTTCATCGCGTTGCTCAAGTGGGCACCAGTAACTTCTCCATCGTGAGACTTGTTGTTACTGTTTTTGGCATAAATGAATATGCCACGGGGAGCTTGCTAGGCTCTGCCGTGTGTGTGAGATACTCTCGGTAGCTTGCCAGGCTCTTCGAGAGGGGTGGAGGAATTGAACCCAGTCAACCGCGTGCAAGGCAAACGCCCTACCCGCTGTGCTATTGCTCCAGCCAAATCTGGACTACATTTTGCAGGTATCAGTTTTTATTTTAAATCATGGACTTTGCTGAAAATCACAGTAATACTATTTTATAATGATTTTTCCATTCACTTTAGAAATACTGATGAACCAATAATTCCGTATTATTTTCCTTCTCTAATAAAGTGGTTACATATTTAGAAAAATTTCAGGACATGGAAAAAATAAATTTGACATGTTAACTTATCATTATGTATATATACATTTTTTGTCTTCATAGGTCTATTTTACCATTATATTTTGAAGTACTATTATTCTTATCACTGCATTCATCAGAGCAGGCACCAATAATGTCTCCATTGTGAGACTTGTTACTGTTTTTTGGCATATCAAATACACCACAGGAAGAGGCCGGCAAGCTACAGAGAGTATCCTGCCCTCACAGAATTCATCGGAAAGGTATATATTTTAAATGTTTGCCCCTCTAAAACTTGGGTTCTTGTGTTAATACAGTTCACTTGAGTACAGAGGCGGTCTCTTGTTAAACTACTGACTTTCAAAGATGCTAGTATAATCTATATACAGTGCAAATGCTCTATAAATATTCAGTGAGGATGTATTTGCTCAAGATATGCTCTTAACACTCATTTTGACCCCACACTGGCAAGGTACAATTTTATTTAAAACTCTCAGAAACATTTTTATATTATTTTGATTGTTGGATTCTAAATGGGATGGATGGTAGATCATTTTCATATAGCCATTTTAGGCACTATGTTATTCATGTTGGTTATAAAGTTCTCTATATTTAGTTCTTGTTGATTAACAAGCAAATGTTTTAATTTAACTTTGAACAATCTCAAGGATCTTCCATTTTATAATGGTCCAAATATTGCTTTTTTCTTTGTGTGTTTGGGGGTGGGGGTGTGGGTGTTGTTTCTGGATCACTCACACCTTGCATTGCTCAGAGGCTACTTTGAAGAGTCAAATCAGTGTTTTCTGAGGTGTGTTCATTGATGATTAGAAAAAATTCTTTTATCCCTCTCATGTCTCCAATAGAAATTCCAAGGATAATGAAACGTTTTCTTAGTGACCCAATGAAGTAGCCACAAGAGTGATAGAAATTTTCATTAAAATTATAATTAATTTAAATTCAAATAATGACTCAGTGCTTCTCAGTCAGAAACTTAATCTATATAATGACCTTTATAGGATAGCATCCATTTTTTAAATAGATGCATGTCATTGAGGAAATAGACTTGATTATTTCAATGTATTATGTTTTATACTTGGAGAGCAATATATTGGTATTGATGCCAACATCTTTCTGGCTTTGATAGCTTTTCATAGTAACACATTTGGAAGTGGTTTATACAGAATATTTCTGCCATTGATAGTTGTTAAGAAGTCCAGCTATAAGAAATAAAATAGTTGAGTGATCCAGTGAGCACATACCTGGTATCAATTCATGCACACATATTCATGCATATCTTTATGTCTTTATATGTATAAGAACAGATATGCAAGTATTCCAAATGGATTTGGAATCCATTTCATTTCTTATTTTATTTTTATTTTTCCTCTATGCTAAATTTGATCAAATGTGCTTTTATTGAGATATTGACATATGTGTATATATGCTATATATACAGTTTAAATATTCACATATAGCTATATGAATATATGTGTGTATATTGTATATAGTATATATTTCGTATATATGCTTATATGCTGTAGCTAATATACACTGATAGATAAGTAAAAAGCCAAGAGAAAATCAAAGTTCAGAGGTTTTCAGTCATATTTAGCTATCTAGTAACAACTATGCTGTTTCAAAAATTAGGTAGAAGAAAATATTCTTGGTGTTAAGCATAACTCTAACAGAGCAAACATAGACATCAAAATAAAGATGCCACTTTAACGTGGGCTAAAGCATGTGTTGAAACAAGTTGGATTTGAAGGCTTCTTAACTTGGCTGCTGGTACAGCCGCTAAAGCACGTTAAAAATATTTGCTTCATCAGGAGAAGGTAAATATAACAGGTTAGTGGCAGGAGAAAGACTACCTCTCATTTTTGAGTTTTTGCCAGACATAGCTCAGCAACCATCACTTCACAGTTTTGCAAATCCTACAATGCCACAGAATGGGCATAATTTATCAATAGATATAGAATCTCTCATATGAGGGTGATTTATTTAGTGGACAGTATGCTTATTTAGTATAAGTTTATTTAGTATAAGTACCCTTTAGTATATTTATTTAGTATAAGTACCCTTTAACTTATTTAGTACAAGTACCTTTTAAATTTATGATTCAGAGAAGACTTCATCCAAATAATACAGTGAAGGAGTTTTAATTTTCCCTTAGAATCATTTTCCCCCTTCTACCTGAGCGCCTTCTCTTCATTCCCAAACTTATGACTCCCACCTCTCAGCATGTCTCCTTAGCATTAATTCAACTGAAGACATGCTTAGGAGGTATTCTGGAAGATAACCCTGGCAACTCCAGGATTGTCTCTTGAACTAAAATTAAGTTGGATCACAATCTTTAATCCTCTAACAGTATCTGTGGACAAGGCATTGCTTTTACTTGCATAGACATGTATGTGCTGAAGTGAATTTCTTCCCCCTTGAGAACAGATTGCAGCTCTATCCATTAAACGGCACCCTCCTAAAAAGTCACTCCACATTTCCTTTTTGTAGAGGGATTTAGACTATCTCCTTTGTGGATTGATGCTGCTGAATCTGCTTTGGAGTCATGTGCCCACCCTTTGCTTTTGATTCTGTTTACCAAAAGAGACCGGAAAAGATCTGCCTTCCCAAAAGATGCTTCATTTTTACTGCATGAAGAAAGAACAGGGTTAAAAAATCCAATGTCGGGACTGGAGAGATAGCACAGCGTGTAGGGCGTTTGCCTTGCATGTGGCTGACCCTGGTTGGATTCCCAGCATCCCATACGGTCCCCTGAGCACCGCCAGGAGTAACCCCTGTGCATCACCAGGTGTGACCCAAAAAGCAAAAAAAAAAAAATCCAATGTCTAGGACTGGAGCGATAGCATAGCGGGTAGGGCATTTGCCTTGCACATGGCCAACCCGGGTTCGAGTCCCAGCATCCCATGTGGTTCCCTGAGCACCGCCAGGAGTAACTCCTGAGTTCAGAGCCAGGAGTAATACCTGTGTATTGCTGGGTGTGACTCAAAAAGCAAATAAATAAATTAAATTAAAATTAAAAAAATCAGATGTCTAAATCTCTTTTTATTACTATCAATGGGACTTTTCATATGTTGTCAATTAATACATTGTCTCCTAAGTTAAAATTGAAATACAACTCAGTGTCTATAGAATTTCACTAAATAAATCCTGAAAACCATTTAATCCACAATCTTCATGTCCTTCTCTTTAACTATGAGTAAGTATGCGATGCAATAAGAGTAATTTTATGTCATTATTAAGAGTAGACAAATTGTAACAAACAAAAAATTCAGTGAGATGAGGTTTGGAAACTTATCTCGGCAGTTTTAGAAGCTACTTAAAAAGCTGAAAAGTTCTAGGTCATATTCTTAAACTTTTTTGACCAAATTTTTCTCATAAGTACTTTTCAACAATACAAATTTCAGTGAGTTGGAATTACAGAAAAGATAAAAATATTGCATTCAAAGATAGAACTTTTTGAATAGCACAAGCAAAATAATTAAACTGTTTATCATCTGTTTACCTTCCAAGACTTATGTGGAGCTGAATTATCCAAATGACTTAAATGTCCCACATTTAATTCAGTAACTCATTAAATTGCATTATGCCAAGAGATAATGCATGCCAATCAGATTTCTTCCTTTCTTTCATCATTATTGTTTACTATAGTTTATGTGAGATGGTTAGAAGTCTTAAAATTTATGGTTCAAATTTACTGTAGCCACCAAAGTGCCCATAACCCTCCACCACTGTCCCTATGTTACCTTAATCTTCATCTTCATCCCTCCAACCTTTCCCCTATTCCTTGGTAATTAGTTTTATAATCCAAGGCCAAGGGTCTGTCATTTTAACTCCATTACTTTAAAATGTGCATAATTCGATATGCCAAACACAGTAACAACAAGTCTCACAATGAAGATGTTACTGGGCTCGATGTTCGATGTTCATCGATGTCCTCCCGTTGTTCATCGAGCAAATCGATGAACAACGGGAGGACAGTGCTACAGTGCTACTTTAAAATGCGGGCATATTTCTTTTTATGGGGGGAAAGGGAGTAGGTGTGTGTGTGTGGGTCCAGGGGCACAGAATCCCCTGTGATTCATGTAAGATAATTATTTTTGAAGGCATTGTCTGTGCCTAACTCGAACTCTGGTAGAGTTGTACGCTTTACTGAGCAAACATGTAGGTACCATATTTGAATTACAATAGGAGTAAGACATAACGATTCCAGGCCTAATTATTACTATCGCCATTAGAATTAATTTACAAGAATGTTTGAAAATGGAAGCCAAGTCATATGAAAGTGATTGTTTTCATTTATTCGTATTCATCTACGAATCTTAGAATTTCAGCTGAGGAGTCAAACTACCCAAAGAAGTTGCGCATAAAGGCTCAGTGTGGTTGCTTATATTCTGAGGATATCCTCCACCTAACCTTCCTAGGATGTGGCATTTTACCACAAACTCTGCCATCTTTATCATGACTCAGAATAGTCCAAATACTCTTTTGGGCAGCTGTGTCCAGCAATGAAGTTGTTGCACTTTCTACAAAAGCATATTATGTTCATAAACATCTCAACACACTCGGCAACTTGTGCACCAACCATACTTAGCCCAAGAACAAATATTTCAGTTCCTTTGGAGTTTCTGATTTCAGTTCCAGAAAGTCCTTATGTTTCAGGAGATCTACCATTTGTAAACAAATCTAGACAGGTGATCACCTTTCAAGTTAAGCCTAGGTGACCTATACTTTGCCTAATGAGCACAGATTGGTCGGTAATCTAGTTCTTCTTCTTTTTTTTTTTCATCCATAGGCAATTATAATTTTCTATAGTGTTTTCCTTTTACTGAGGTTAAGTAAGCATGTTGTTTTCTTTACTTTGCCCCAGAATTTTTGTGTCTAGAATTTTTCTAGCACTTTATAATCCGGCAAAGCATCCAGTTGAAAGGCTTTAAATAATAAATAGGAATTCAATGCCTTACCATCTCTGGACATTCCTAGGGCAAGACACTTCTGCAGTCGGCAGTGTTGGCAACGGTTTCTGTTGGTTCTGTCAATTAAACAGTTTCTCTGCCTTGGGCAGGAATAAGAGGCATTGTTCTGCTGGCTCCTTCTAAAGAACCCCTAGAGAGAGAAAGGAAATGGGAGGAAAATACATTTATTTGAATGGAAACAGAAACTAATAATGTACATGTACATGTACATGTACATTTGCTACGTTTTCTTTGGTAAACGTAATTGTTGAAAAAATTCTTTGAATACTTCTTCTTGATTCCCTCACAGAAGTTTCTATTTACTATTTGCAGAGATATGAGGATATCACTCATTCGATCAACGTTTCCTAAAGACATTTTCAGGCAGTGGCATCCTAGGAAAAGAAACACAGTTGACTTCCTATATGTAGAGAGCAACAGGGAAGTTCCGTGAAAAGAGACTATCACTGCTATGCAAAAAGCAGCCAAACTTGACGGGACAATGGTATGTATGGTTCGATAGATGTTAAATCATGTGGGCTTGGGAAATTTGGGGAATCAGTAGCAACCTCCATTCTGTGGATGCAGAATCAGTGTGTTCTACGACCTAGTTTCTAAGATGGAGTCCCCCCAGGTGAAAACTTTTTTTTTATTCACCCAGAATGTATATGGAAGTTTCTTTTTAAAATTAAAAACAGTGACGTATCTCATAGCGAAGCACATTTTTGAAAAAAAGAAAATATGGTACATGAGCTGCTCAGCAAAAAATAAGCAATAACTTAAAATCGGAGCTGATGGTCTCTGCTTAGCCTTAGGCTACAGCAATATAGAATCTTTAGTGTCAGTAAGTTTAGGTCTATCTGGCAAAAAATAAACTGCAATGGATCATACACTCCCCTTCTAAATAAATCCACAGCTGAGTTTGTTACTTTTTAAAACTTTTGGATATTACCCATCTTAGTGTCCTATAGAAAAAAATTATAAGAAAAATAAACATTTCGCTGGAGATACAGTGTTTTATGTACCCATTTATTCACTTATTTAAGAATCACAGGAAGTGATGGATTAAAACAGATTTACCAAAAAAATTTTTACCTCCTTTTGTAAATAGGAAGCTTAGAAGAGTCCTAGAGTGGTATATTCAATGCCTATCTTGCTGTGCAACCTGAAATAGGATATTTGACTTCAAACAACTTTGTTTCTTGGGCTAATATGAGGCAACTAAGGAAACAATCTTAGTGACAAAATTTAAGAGGTTACCACATGTTTAAAAACAGTATAGGGCTGGAGTGATAATAATACAGCAGATCGGGCATTCGCCTTACATGCAGCTGATCTGGGTTCGATTCCCAGCATCCCATATTGATTTCCCGAGCACCATTAGGGGTAATTCTTGAGGGCAGAGCCAGGAGATGCCTGAAAATCGCAGGTGTGGCCCCCAAACCAATTACGTATGCATATGTACATAATACATAAACATACACACATATATATTCTCTCTCTCTCTCTCTCTCTCTCACACACACACACACACACACATTAGTGGTTCTTGGGAAAACAGATGTGGTGCTGGGAATTAAAACAGAGCCAGCCACATGAAAGGTAAGAACCTAACCCCCTGTACTGTCTTTCTGGCCTCATTAATACAGTATCTTCAAAATCAGCTTTCATTTAAGAAATGCTGAAGTTTTTTTTAATAAAGACAGGATTAAGGAGTCTTCTTTGGTTGCAGGCGTCAGTGCCACTAGTCATGGCCTTTTTGGGGAGTTTTCCAACTTTGGGAAGGGCCTCTGAAGTACACGTGTGGCCAAGTATTTCCCAAGCAGGGAAAAAACATTGGTTTGTTTTGGGATTGTAAACCCTAAGTCATTCAATAGGACAATTTCCTTCTTGGTATCTATGTGAATTATTTACTTAATGTATCAGTGGCAGCAGAATAAAGTATCCAAATTGCCCCATTTGAATGAATTTGTGAAGTCCGTTATGATTGAGATCACATCCAAGTTCTCTGGAACTAAAATGATGTACTCCATATATTAGGAAAACTATCAGAGACAATGAACTCAGTTCTTTGGTCTTGATTAAATATGTCTCTGAATTTATATTTGAAGAAATTAGGTGATTTTTGTTTTCACTCTTTCTATGCTCTATTGCCTTTTAGCAAAAAGAGTTGACGGAATAGATTTTCCTGCAGTCACAGTTACAGTCCTAATTGAAGGCCAATTTGCCTTAATTCTGGGAAATTTCTTGCTTATATGTTACTCATTATTGCAATGAGATTTTTGGCATGAAAAAGATTCTGTTTTGGGGCCGGAGTGATAGCACAGTGAGTAAGGTGTTTGCCCTGCACGAAGCTGACCCGGGTTCAATCCCTGGTATCCCATATGGTTCCCCAAGCACTGCCAGGAGTAATTCCTGAGTGCAGAGCCAGGAGTAACCCCTGAGCATCGCTGGGCGTGACCCAGAAAGCAAATAAATAAATAAATAAATAAATAAATAAAATGAAATAGTATTTTTTAAAAAAGAGATTCTGTTTCAAATTTTATGGAATGAATAGGAATTTGAATAAATGCAGAAGCTGAATTTATATCATATAAAATGGGTTGTTTATGTTGACAAAGAACAGTATTATGAAAATTCAGAGGTTGGTGCTGAATGTGCTGACACTGACATCTTATTCTGAACAGCATTTTCTGAGATTTTACTTGGAGGAAAATGTAGCATATTTACAAATGTGGGTCATCCTATGACATAAAAAAATGGTGCATAATGTCATTTTGACTTAAATCTCAAAGTCTGTTTTAGAGCTACAACATAATTAATTTGATTGTGGATTTCTCCTTAAAAAGAAAGGAGATGACAGGAACTAACACACTTGTTCCTGCAACTGGCCTGTTGGGACATGTTTGTTTAGTAGGTGAGTCTTTTGAAAATTAATGTTTTGCTCCTTAATATGAACACATTTTTATAATTCCAAGGCAGAGATTTCCCAAGCAGTTTTTAAGCAATAAAACACAAAAAACATCTCCACTTTGTTATTAACCTAAAAGTATCCTTGTAAATATTATATGTAAACAATTGTCAGAGATTTAAAAATTCCATAATAAACTCAGAGTGGTAGGAATGCTTTCATTGAAGAGGGTTCTGATTCCTAAATTATTAGTATTTGTGATAAAAATTAACTGCTCAGAGGAAAGAATGACATCACAGAAAAGCAAATAATTTTTTTTTTTTTGCTTTTTGGGTCACACCCAGCAATGCTCAGGAGTTACTCCTGGGTCTGCACTCAGGAATTACTCCTGGCAGTACTTAGAAGACCATGTGGGAGACCGGGGATTGAACCCGGGTCAGTCACGTGCAAGGTAAAGGCCCCACCCGCTGTACTATCTCTCTAGCCTCAATTTGTGATTTTTTTAAATTGCTTTTTTTATGAGATAAAAATAACATCAAATCAGATAAGATGAAATTTCCAACTCTAGGAGAAACTGAATGGGTTTAGATATGGGTGGTTATTAATCACCAGGATACGGGTCAATGTGATATTATTATTTCTATTTTGCATCAACACCTATTTTATTCTTATTAATTAGCTAATTATCTAATTTTCCTTCCATTTTCAGTTCCTGGACTCTTAAAGCACTGCTTTTTTTTCCCCACATAGTACCACTATTTGGTAGTCAATGTAAATTTTGATTCAATTGTATTTGAAAGTCTCAGAAGATGGAAGTTGGAACTTAGAATCCGTGATTGCGTCACATCTCCTTCAGTTTAGTTTAAAAAGTAAAAAGTAAAGGCCCTCCCGTTGATCATCGATTTGCTCGAGCGGGCCCAGTAACGTCTCTATTGGAGACTTTGTTGTTACTGTGTCTGGCATATCGAATACTCTCGGTAGCTTGCCGGGCTCTCCGAGAGGGGCGGAGGAATCGAACTCGGGTCGGCCATGTTGGCTGCGTGTAAGGCGAACGCCCTACCCGCTGTGCTATCGCTCCACTGACCTTGAATTAATTTGCTTTGCTCAGACCTTTTGTCAACATTATAATTGCTTTCGCTAAGAACTTTGCCAGCATTTACTCTTCCCTCCCAGACTGGCTGCATTTTATTAAGACAGGGTTTTATTTTTACGTTTTTCCCTGGAAAACTGTTTTAGAACCAAAAAGATCCGTTTGTTCTTCATATGGTCTCTTACCCTTTCTTTCCTTCTAAGAAATAATTTCAAAACTAAGTTTTCCTTATTTCAGATTATGTCCAGGCTAACCACTCTTCCACTAGCTTTGTATTATAAATTCAACTTGCTGATAGGAATTAGCTTGTCTTGGAAGGGCTGGTTGACTCAATCCTGGGGATGAACAGTAAACTGAGAATGAAAGACTCATGCTTTTGGCCATGTTCTCTTTCTAATTGCATTAGTGATGTTGGCCAAACGACCTAATCTCATTTCTCTTTCAGGCACTCATTGGAAAAAATGGAATCTGGATTGGATAGCTTTTAATTAATTTAGATAGTATTTGGTCTAACTCTAGCACTCCTGCTTCTAGGTTTTTTTTTTTAATTTGTTTTTTCTGGAGTATGGGGGAAAATGATGGATCATACACATATTTGCATGACAACTGTTATACTGGCTTCTTTTTCAGACACATCAACAAAGGGCCATGAGACGTTCATCTATACTTTTAATCTTTGGGGTGGAACCAGAATTCTTTCACATTATGCTAAATATCCTGAAGTTTACCCAAGAAGCTGTTTCTGGGAGAACAGGTCCATATTTACATCCCTGAAAATGTGAGTTGAGTCAAACATTGAAATAAACGACAGCTTCTCTCTAAACAACTGCCTAGAACATAAAAGGGTGAAAGGCAGAAAAAAAAAACTAAAAAAAGATAAATCAACCCACCCACCCTCCAAACAAAAATTCCCTGTCAGCAGCAGGCACAAAATTCCTTCCTGGTCTTAAAAAGTTGTCTCCACGGTGGACACACGGACGCCCAAGGCAAGCCGAACTGCTGCTGGCAGTGCCAAATTCAGTCTCCTACCTTGCAGCCTTCACAGGTGATGACTCCGTAGTGGATCCCGGAGGACTTATCGCCACAAATCTTGCATGGTATCACTTCGATTTGTGCTACAAGGGGAAAATAGACATCTTGATCACATAGAGTTGCTTTCTTCCTGTGATCTTTCCTTTCTATTTCTTCACCCTTTTAGCCCTGATCTTATTGTTTAAAGTCACTGGGTTAAAGGCAAGGGATAGACGTGACGTCATAGGCTGCTCATTACGTGGTCACCCTAAGCTGCTTTTACGTAAAATATCACCTGCCTACCAGGGTTTGCTTTGTTTTCCTTAAACTGAAAAATAGAAGTAGGGACGAGAAATCTTCTAAACGTTTCCCTTCACTCTTTGCTCTTTTTGAGTTATTTTTCTTTTTTTGTGGGGGCAGGGGTAGATTTGGGACAGGTTTGGACCATACCTGCCTGTGCTCAGGGCTTACTCCTGGCAGTAATTGGGGAACCATATGGGGTGTCAAAGACTTCGCCTGGGTCATCTGTATGAAGTCAAGAGCTGTGTCTGCTGTATCATCACAGCCCCTTTTATTAGTTTTAGTTTTTTGTTTGTTAGTTTTTGGGCTATACCTAGCTGTGCTCAAAAATTTCTCCTGGCTTTGCTCTCAGGGATGACTCATGGCAGGGCTCAGGAGACCATCTGGTGTGCCAGGAATCAAACCCAGGTAAACCATTTGCCATGCAAGCACTTTGCCTGTTATACCATGACTCTGGTTCTCATTGGTTCCCTTTTTTTTTGCTTTTTGGGTCACACCTGGCGATGCACAGGGGTTACTCCTGGCTCTGCACTCAGGAGTTACTCCTGGCGATGCTCAGGGGACCATATGGGATGCTGGGAATCGAACCCCTGTCGGCTGCATGCAAGGCAAATGCCCTACCCGCTGTGCTATCTCTCCAGCCCCCCTATTGGTTCCTTTTGATTAGGGCTGGAGAGATAGTCCAGTAGGCAGAGTGCTCTGCTCGCTTTGCACTCAGCTGACTTGGGTTGCCCTGTACCCCATACAGTCCCCTGACCATGGCCAAGAGTGATTCCATAGCACAGAGCCAGGAGTGAGCTGTTGAGCAAAGCTGGGTGTTTCTTTTTCCTTTTTCTTTTTTTAAAATTTTCCCCTCCAAAATTTTCATTTTGAGAATACCTCCTTCTATGCTCAAAATTCTGGGGGATACTCTGCAGCTATATTCAGCCTGCTGCCTGCCTGTAGGTTGGGTCTGTGATACTGTGCTGCTTCTATGCAGCTGTGTTTTGGGGTCACTAGGGAAACACCGGTAGGGCTCAGTGAAGTCATGTGGCTCTGGGGATCTAATTCAGAATATGCTGAATATAAAAATCATGAGTAATAGCACAGGGCTGGAGCAATAGCACAACCGGTAGGGTGTTTGCTTTGCATGCGGCCAACCTGGGTTCAAGTCCTCCGTTCCTCTCGGAGAGCCCGGCAAGCTACCAAGAGTATCTTGCCCACAGGGCAGAGCCTGGCAAGCTCCCGTGATGTATTCGATATGCCAAAAACAGTAACAAGTCTCACAATGGAGACGGTACTGGTGCCTGCTTGAGCAAATCGATGAACAACGGGAGGACAGAGCAACAGTGCTACAGTTCTCCAGTCCTTTCAGCTACTTCCCCAACCCTGTTTTCTCCTTTTCAAACTTGACCTTAAAATAATGTTTCAAAAGTCCCTTAAATTCATGCCTTTGGTTTCCATATTCTACATTTCAATCACTTAGTCGTTGAGAACTACCACATTACCTCATTTTAATAATACGGCTAAATTTAGAAGAAAAAGCAAAACTGGAGGGTGGTTTAGTTATGTGTTACGTGGCTGGATATTTTCTTATAAAAATGCCAGTAATGAATCAGTCCAATATTTATTGAGTACTTGATATGTCCACCAAAATAATAATTATAGTTTACACAGTTGTATTATTACTAAAATATATAATATAATACAAAAACCAACATATAAAGAAATTTGAGAAAATGTTAGATGTGGATACTATGATTTTAATAGAAACTGAATATTTTATTTCCAGTTTAATTGAAATAAAGATAACTTTTATTTTTTTTAATTTTTATTAGTAAAACACCATGAGGTACAGTTGTAGACTTACAAATTTTTGTGCTTGGGATTCAATTATACAATGATCGAGTACCCATCCCTCCACCAGTGCCCATTCTCCACCACCACTAATCCAGGCATCTCTCCCACCCCCCATCCCTCCATCCCACCCTGACTCTGTGGCAGGGCATTCCCTTTTGTTCTCTCTCTCCTTTTGGATGCTGTGGTTTGCAAAAGAGGAATTGAGTGGCAGTCATGTTCGGTCTATAGTCTACTTTCAGCATGCGTCTGCCATCCTGGGAGGATCCTCCCAACATCCTTTATTTGGTTCTCCCTTCTCTAAGCTGCCTTTAGTCCTAGAGTGTGCGACTGGCCTCCAAGCCATGGAGTAAACCTCCTGGTACTTATCTCGGCTATTCTTGGGTGTTAGTCTCCTATTTTGTTACTTGAGATAAAGATAACTTTGTTGACTTTATTTTTTAATTTTTATTTATTTATTTATTTATTTATTGCTTTTTGGGTCACACCTGGCGATGCACAGGGGTTACTCCTGGTTCTGCACTCAGGAATTACCCCTAGCGGTGCTCAGGGGACCATATGGGATGCTGGGAATCGAACCCAGGTGGGCTGCGTGCAAGGCAAACGCCCTACCCGCTATGCTATTGGTCCAGCCCCAACTTTGTTAACTTTAAAGATTGTTTAGGATTTGGGTAAGTGAACTGAAAGGCAAAGGAACTTTTTGGAGCAGAAATTAATAAATTAATTCCACAACGCTTTTGTTGTATTATCATTGAGATAAGCTTATTTGCTACAGGTGGAAATTTGGGTCATATGTTTGACTATAGGGAATAACATTAGATTACTGATCTTCTGGGAGTTAGGCAGATAAATTTTTAATCTCATATCACTGGCTATAAGGCATCAAAGGAAAAAAATCTAATAAAAAAGATAGAAGTAGTGATAAAGGGACCTCATTCATTGCTGGTGGGAATGCCAACTGGTCCAGCCTTTTTTGAAAACAATATGAACATTCCTCAAAAAGCTAGAAATTGAGCTCCCATTTGACCCAGCAATACCACTTCTGAGAATATATCCTGGGGGTCCAAAAACAGTAGATGCACTATCTTCACTTCTATTATACATTGTAGCACTATTCACAATAACCAGAATCTGGAAACAACTTTGAGTGCCCTAGAACAGACAATGAATAAAGAAACCATGGTATAGCCACACAATGAAATACTACACAGCTGTTAGGAAAAATAAGGTCAAGGATTTTGCCTATGAATGGATGGACTTGGAGAGTATCATGCAGAGTGAAGTGAGTCAGAAGGAGAGGGACAGATGTTGAAGACTGCATTTATTTGTGGGATATTAAATAAAATGTATGAAACTAACATCCAAGGCCAGAGAAAATAGGCCAGGAGGACAGATCAATGATTGGAAATTACCACAAGTATGTGGGGGGTGGAGGGTAGTTAAGATAGAGGAGGGTCCATTATGACAATATTAGTTGGAAATTATCATCTGGACAAGAACTGAATGTTGAAAGTAGGCAAAGGGATATACGTGATAACCTTTCAGCCTCTGCATTGTAAACAATAATGCCTAAAATTAGAGAGAGGGAGAGAATGAGAAAGAAGAGAGGTGCCAGCCATAGAGTCGGGGGTGGGGTGGGGGGTAGTTTGGAGGGGTGAGAGGAAAACTGGGGACACTGGTGTTGGGAAATTACACTGGTGGAGGTTTTGGTGTTGGAACATTGTATGACTAAAACCCAACATGAACAGATTTGTAATGCTCGATCTCACGGTGATTCAATAAAATAAAAAATTAGGTAAACACAAGAACTGGTCTTCAGTAAGAAGCCTGTCACTTGGGGCACAGGTGGAAGGATAGAACAGGGAAGTGAACACTGCCTATGGGGGAGGACAGAGATTACTCTGGAGGAGGACAGGGTGCTGAAAGGAGCAAGGTGTTATGTGTGAAGCCCTATTACTACCTTGTATTGTAAATAACAGTGCTTAAAAAATAAAAGGTGCTTGCCATAGAGGCTGGGTGGGAAGTGAGAAGGAAACTGAGGACACTAGCGAAGGGAAGTGGACATTGGTGAAGGGGTTGATGTTGGGACAGTGTATGCCTACAACTTAATCATGAATAACTTCATAATTCTTGGTGATTCAATAAAAAATTAAAAAAATAATTATCCTCATCAAGACAATAAATCCGTGTGGTAAGTTTTTTTGTTTTTTAAATTGAATCACCGTGAGATGCAGTTACAAAGTTGATTATGGTTGGGTTTCAGTCATACAGTGTTCCAACACCCATTCCTCCACATGTGATAAATTTTATTTAGAATGTAGTAAATCCTAAATTATACATACTTGTATAGTATTCTAAGTGCTGTTAAAATTATACCCACTATGAAGACATGCTATTCTAGTTCCCAATTTAAAATAATTATGCAAAACATGCTTCAAAATGCTTTCTACATCAATCTGTCACTTGGATGCTGTTCTGTTTCTTACCCCTGGCTATACAAAAACAAATAGATGCAAATCATACCCCTTATTTTCTTCTTGCCTTACACTTTTCAAGAGATAATACTTGGTTTAAACTCTTGTGTTTAATATTTCTCAACAAAATATTTCAAAGTAACTTCAAATTCGTTTTTTTAAAAGAAAAAAAATTAATCTTATATTCCTATTTTCCATCTGAAAAAACTGAGCATCCAGGTGGTTAATGATACCCTTGTACTAACTTGGGAGATAACCACCAGAATTACCAATTTTCCTGTACTGAGTTGAGCTGTCTCTGCAAAGATAAAATACAAATGCAGTTTTGAGTTCCATACTGTTCCAATAACACTAGATAGACAAATAATTTTAAAAATACATTGAGAAGTGGTCAAATACAACATAATGATTTACATAACTGAGTTTAACAAGGGTAAGGAGTGATAGGGAGAGGACACTGGGAAATGTTAGAGGGAAGGGAACACTGGTAGAAG